TGGTTTTTTTTGCGGATATTCAAGAAGCCTATCCAATTCTTGCTCAACGCTCTAGTGATGAGTAAGGTTATGGTCCACGGTAATTGCTCTAATTCATTGTTTAACTTCAATATCTCTCTGTTTGGCACTAGGATGGATCATATTGGCAACCTCCTCCTCAAGTTACTGTCAAATGTAATAATGTTAACGAAAATTGAAGGAATGACATATTGGTTAGTAAGGTGTGTGGTAGTAAGAGATCAAAATGGTCAAGTTTTCTTTCATGCAAGGGAAGCATTTAGTCCATCTCTGAACATAATTACAGTGAAATTTTGTTGCATTTTATCGACAATGCAAAGCTTAAATGATCTTCAGATTCAGTCGAGTCACATTAGTCAGAGGAACGCAACACGTGTCAAAGAGTTTCAATTTCTCCCTTTTCTTATAATTTGATGATATTAGTCGAGTGAAGATATCAATTTCTACTTCCAGGAAGTTACACCATGCATATCACCAACGGTTTGGAATTGCCCAGAATTTTTAATTTAACTAGTAAAACTAGTCTAAACATCAACTCAATTCAAAACCATTCGTTTAAGTATAAAAGAACACATATACAACTTAATTTAGCAACGATAAACACACAACTATAAGAAATGTGTCGGTACCAACATTAACAAATCACTTATTTTTAAACATAACGTAGTAATTAAAATTTTAATTTAAAGAAGCAAACAATCACTTAGGTAATGGTGATTCGGTTTTGGTCATTGGCTGATCAACATCGTTGATCGTCGCCAATTCAATCGATGTTTATCTTTTGTTTGTCTTCAGTTTCTTCTTAATGAAGCAACAACAAAGCGAGTATACACAAATCGCCAAAATCATTACCTCTGAAGCTATGACCGGAGCTATGATTTTCCGAAACACTTTACCTAATTGCATTAAACCAAAACACTAAATGTTAAAGACTATCAAGGCAGACATTATAAAATTGGATCAATTTATCACTTAAAGGTCTAAAATAAATTAACATATATAAGATATATATGGTTGTTTTTCGAT